ATCTCTCTTGTTGACGAAAACGGGTAAAGAAAACAAAAGAACACGAGAATTTTACGAGGTTCGGCAATGTGCTTACGTCCTCGGTGCCTAGGCGGCGCTAGAAGTTTTTATTCAATGATATTTTAGGTCTAGGTTACATCTCTATTTATAATAGAAAACCCTGGTACATAATTACAAAATTAACCCTGTACCGTACCGCGGGGGGCTGCCCCCGCACCCCCAACCCACATAATTCGTAACCCCACAACGAGACTTTCTTTGTAAGGACAGTTAATGTTCGCTTCGCTCACTCCGCTCCATCTCCTGTCCTCTACTGGTATATTTATGAGCCATACCTACATCTCAACATTCAACAAGTCCAAGCATGCTTGAACTTGTCTGTCGTAACTGGCTTAGTGAACATATCAGCGCCATTTTCATCAGTATGTACCTTCTGAAACAAAACCTCTCCAGATGCAACCAACTCTCTGATCTTGTGGAACCTTACATCAATATGTTTAGTTCTAGCACGATACACCTGATTCTTAGCCAAGTGAATAGCACTTTGATTATCACAAAGCAACTGAACTCCACCTTGTTGAACACCCAACTCCTTCACTAAACCAGTAAGCCATAAAGCTTCTTTTGCAGCTTCAGCCGCTGACATGTACTCAGCTTCAGTTGTAGATAGAGCCACAATAGATTGAACAGTAGACTTCCAACAAATAGGCCCCCACCAAGATAAGACATACCCTGTCGTAGAATCTTCTATTATCCAAGTCACCTGCATAGTCTGAATCCACATATCCTACAACCAAAGGATTATCCCGCTGACTCCCAAAAACAATTCCATGTCCAACAGTACCCTTTAAGTACCGAAAAATCCACTTGACTGCTTCCCAATGTGCTTACCAGGTTTAGACATGTACTTACAAACTTGACTAACAGCATGAGCTAATCAGGACGATACATACCATCGCATACATCAAGCAGCCAACAGCATTAAATACGGAACCTTTGCCATATCTTCAGCTTCCTTATCTGTCTTGGGCACTGTTCTGATGAGAGCTTAAAGTGATTCGCCAATGGAGTGCTAACTGGTTTTGCGCTGCTCATCGCAAACCTTTCTAGCATTTTCTCAACATAACCCCCTCTGTCCCTGCAAATTTCCATTCCAAGAATTTTCTTTGCAGCACCTAAATCTTTCATATCAAATTCCTGACTCAATAAAGTTTTCAAACCGATAACATCATCCATGTTCTTCGCAGCAATCAACATATCATCAACATACAGTAATAGAAAAATAAAGAACCATCATCAAGGCTCTTACATAGACACAACAATCATACTCACATCGGTTGTAGCCATCTTGATCATATAGGAGTCAAACCGTTTATACCATTGTCTCGGAGACTGTTTCAACCCGTACAAAGATTTCTTCAATCTGCAAACTAAATGCTCGTTTCCAGGTTGAGTGAAACCTTCAGGTTGCCGCATGTAGATCTGCTCCTCTAAATCACCATGCAAAAAAGCAGTTTTAAACATCCATCTGCTCTAAATGTAAATCCCAACTAGCCACAAATGCAAGTACTGCTCGGATTGAAGTGTGCCTGACCACAGGAGAAAAGATTTCATCATAATCAACTCCTTTCTGCTGTGAAAAACCCTTCGCTACCAAACGAGCCTTGAACTTCTCCCCCTCTTTTTCTGTTACTACTGGTTTCTTCTTATACACCCATTTGCAACCAATCGGCTTCTTACCCTCAGGAAGGGGAACTAACTCCCATGTGCGATTGTGATTCAAAGACTCCATCTCCTCAACCATGGCTGCCATCCACTTGTCGTTTTCCTGACTAGTAACGGCATCATGAAAAGTAACCGGATCATCACTGCTAACAATAAGTGCAAAAGATACCAAGTCTTCAAAACCCAATCTGTTCGGAGGCTTTATATTCGTCCGTCTCACCCTGTCTCTGGCGAGACTATAATCCTGCAAATCATCCGTAGTGGAACCACCAGAAGTCGGTTGAGAAGTTTCTGGTTTCTCAACTGGAAACTGCTCGAAATCCACCACTGTCGTGTCTTGCTTCTGCTGCAACATGGATTGTTCATCAAAACGACATCTCTACTATCACAACTTTCTTCGCAACTGGATCCCAGAACTTGAATCCTTTGACACCTTTCTTGTAACCCAGAAAAATTCACTCCTTCGATTTTGCATCAAGTTTGGATCTCTCATCAGCAGGTACATGCACATAAGCAGGACAACCAAAAATCTGTAAGTTATCAAAACTAACATCATGACCAGTCCATACCTCTTCTGCAACTTTCCCAGCCAGCAATGCCCTTGGCGATCTGTTGATAAGGTAACACGCCATGTTAACAGCCTCAGCCCAGAAGTGTTTGGGAAGCCCCGCATTCAACCGCAAACATCTGGCTCTTTCATTCAACGACCTGTTCATTCGTTCCGCAACACCATTCTGTTGTGGTGTCTTGCGCACTGTAAAATGCCTCTGAATCCCATGCTCCTTACAGAATTGTAGGAACTGTGAATCTGTGTACTCCGTACCATTGTCAGACCGCAAACACTTGATTTTTCGTCCTGTTTGGTTTTCTACCTCAGATTTCCACAGCTTGAACTTCTCAAAACTTCAGATTTCTGTTTCAAAAAATACACCCAAACTTTCCGTGAAAAATCATCAATAAAAGTAACATAATACCTAGATCCACCCAAAGACGATGTCGTGGAAGGCCCCCATACATCAGAATGCACATAATCAAGAATCCCTTGAGTTGTGTGCTTCACAGTCTTGAAACGGACTTTAGTCTGTTTACCAAGAACACAATACTTGCAAAAGTCGAGCTTACAGCTTTTAACACCATGCAACAAGTTTCTCTTGTGTAATTCTGCCATACCACGTTCACTAAGATGAGCAAGGCGCATATGCCACAATTTTGTCGTATCATCACATGACTCAACAGAGTGAACTCCACCTGCAACGGTACTCCCTAACAATCTGTAGATATTCCCTGCAGTCATCTTGCCTTTCATCACAGTCAATGCTCCTTTAACAATCCGAATGGTTTCCCTATCCTCGTCAGCCTTAGGGATAAAACCATTCTTGTGCAAAGTGCCCAAGGAATCAAATTCTTCTTCAAGTCTGGGATATGTCGAACACCACTCAACGTCCGAACGGAGCCATCGTGCATCTTAATTCTGACATCACCAATACAACAATATTGCAACATCGATCATCACCCAAATAAACCGAACCAGAATTAACCGGCCTGTATGTCGAAAACCATTCCCTATTTGGCGTGATGTGATAAGAACATCCAGAATCAAGAATCCAAGCATCCGTCAATTGTGTCGTTGAAATAGAAGCATATCACCCTCACTGCAATCAGAATTATCATCCTCGACCACGTTCACAGACTTGGATGAGCCATCACGCTTCTCATCAGTCTGCTTTTTCAACTTCGGACAGTCTCGCTTCATATGTCCCGCCTCCTTGCACTTGTAACAGTGAATCGTCTTCTTATCCCTGGATTTGGATCTGGAATTCCGCTTCCCGGACCCTGCCTTCTCTGGCTTCCGTCCACGATCTCGACATTGATAGTCTCTTTCCCATATGTAAGAGTAGTCACCATGTGTTCGTAAGAGGGAGGCAACGAACACAACAGAATCATCGCTCTGTCTTCATCCTCAATTTTCACATCAAGCCGAGCCAGATCAGAATGATTTGATTGAAGACATTCACGTGTTGCGCCAAATCGTGATCGTCCTGATCTTCAGCACCCATACAGCCGCTCTTCAGATACAATTTTGTCGTTAAGGATTTGGACATAAACTGAATTTCCAACTTCCTCCAAATTTCGTCTGGAGACGATAGATGCATGACGTGATACATGACCTCGTCCGCCAAGCATAATCGTATGGTTCACCCCATCTTTATCCAACCCTTGCCATTTCCCTTGAACTACCCGATATCCGACGAATCGCGCGACTTCGAATTTTGCTCCTCTCTGAAAATTGTTGACTAAACGGGTAAAGAAAACAAAAGAACACGAGAATTTTACGAGGTTCGGCAATGTGCTTACGTCCTCGGTGCCTAGGCGGCGCTAGAAGTTTTTATTCAATGATATTTTAGGTCTAGGTTACATCTCTATTTATAATAGAAAACCCTGGTACATAATTACAAAATTAACCCTGTATCGTACCGGGGGGGCTGCGCCCCCGCACCCCCAACCCACATAATTCGTAACCCCACAACGAGACTTTCTTTGTAAGGACAGTTAATGTTCGCTTCGCTCACTCCGCTCCATCTCCTGTCCTCTTTACTGGTATATTTATGAGCCATACCTAACATCTCTTTTTTACCGTCGTCTTCCTTGCCATTGATCACACCGTCGAACCCTGTGGAGTCACAAAAAGGTCGCGTTTTTTCCTTACCGTTATAAGGTTTAAAATGTGATTTGAGGTTCGTCGATGGTAGTTTGTCTGAACTGTCAAATAGAAGTACGATCAGGGTTAGGTTCAATCAATGTCAACTACAACGACAAAAGTTGATGGTCAACATGGGTATAGGGATTAAAATTAAGATTTTTTAAAGTTTTTTTAATATTTGAGAAAATTTTGAATTCTCTTTTAAATTTTATTTTAAATAAAAATTCTCAAAATTACTATAATGTGACATTTGTTACTTAACAAATTTTTTTAACGAAAGTTACTAATTGGGCACCTAAAATGATGACGTTAGAAATGTTACACACCTATTTTAACGAAAAATTCTTTAAGCACCTAAAGTTAACTTTAAGTATAGGTTGGACATTTATTTTTACATTAAACCAAAATTAAAGGCTAAATAGACAAAAGATATAAAATTTGAGGACTAAATTTATTGTTATACCTTTTTGTTTTATAGGCGGCTTTGGAATTCACATTTATACTCGCAGAAGCCCCCAGATCGCACAACTCCTTCCTCAAGCAACCTTGTGAAAGCCCAAACATCAAGTTTTTCGTCAAAATCAAAACCCCTTCGAACTCCGATTCGAGATTGTAACAATGAGCGATGGAGAAGACGCAGTACGACGCCGTAATGCTATCGCGGAGTACCGGAAGAAACTCCTTCAACACAAAGAGTATGAATCTAGGGTTCGAGCAGGTATCCTCCCACTTCTTCTCATAATTCCCTCCATCTAACCCTAATAGGGGTCACTTTTCTCTTTCCCTTGTGCCTCGATTTATTTCCATTCGAATTATTATCTTTTTGTTTGTCCGTTTACGATTTAGGATTTAGGGTTTTGCTTCCTCTCTAGGTTATATCAACACTTTTTTTTTATACAAATATTGCTTCTTTCGAGGTTCAATTCTTTTGTGGAGACAGTTTCAGTAGGTAAAATTTGGCGAAAGACTTTATGATTTGGTTGCGGCAAATAGATAACTATTTCGTTTTTAACTGAAAGTATACTTTTCAATGACTTCGACTTGGGCTGATGATTGTGTTTTGTTTATATTTTGGATGAAATTGAAATTTTGGCTTTCTGAGAAAATTAAACGAAAGAAAAGAATGCTTGGGATCTTTGGTTACGTAAAGGTGTATTAGTTGTTTGAAGATCAAATCTTTATCTTATTAATATGGTGCATGCTTAACATGGTTTTTGACTTGTTTTACTGTTGAATGTTTAGCTAGGGAGAATCTGAGAGCTGCTAAGAAGGAGTTCAACAAAACAGAAGATGATTTGAAATCTCTTCAGAGTGTTGGACAGATCATTGGAGAAGTTCTCAGGCCTCTTGATAATGAACGCTGTAAGTGCTTCTTACCCCGCCTTGCCTCCGATTCTTCCTCTTTTATCTTGGTGTTGGTACATTAGTCCAAGTGGCTAAGGATCTACAATATTTGCATTGGAAACATATCATTTGTTTGTTTTTATTTATAAAATTGCACAATCTGGCATCTGAGTAGTTGCATTTGAAATTTAGGTTGTTTGTTGATTCATTTTTCTCTAGGATCGACTTTAATTACAAAATTGGATGTTTATATGAAATTTCAGTGATTGTTAAAGCAAGCAGTGGCCCTCGTTATGTGGTTGGTTGCCGAAGCAAAGTTGATAAGGAGAAACTAACTTCAGGAACTCGAGTTGTCCTTGATATGACAACACTTACAATAATGCGAGCCCTTCCTCGTGAGGTAAGTATTAGCATCCTAATTAGTTCAGCTGTATATAAATGCAAGCTTTCTTTGCAGATATCTGAAACCATGGTACATCTTTGGTTGATAGGTTGATCCAGTTGTTTACAATATGTTGCATGAAGACCCTGGTAATGTTAGCTACTCAGCGGTTGGTGGTTTATCTGATCAAATTCGAGAGCTTAGGGAATCTATCGAGCTCCCTCTAATGAATCCTGAACTTTTCCTTAGAGTTGGAATTAAACCTCCCAAGGTGATTATTGCTTCCTGAATTTCAATGGGTTTGCTTGTGTATGATGGAAGGGGAAGCATGCTGTGATGGAGTGTTATATGGTTGAAAATCATCTGAAATGGCCTGTTTTCTTTGCAGGGTGTCCTCCTCTATGGTCCTCCTGGTACGGGTAAGACATTGCTTGCCAGAGCAATAGCAAGTAATATCGATGCTAACTTCTTGAAGGTTGGTGTTTTTGTACCTACGACTTACCTTGTGGTTTTCTCATCCTGTCCTTAACTGATTGCATTTTACCTTTTTTCCATCTGAATCCAGGTTGTTTCAAGTGCAATAATTGACAAGTACATAGGAGAAAGTGCAAGGCTGATACGAGAAATGTTTGGATATGCACGTGATCATCAAGTGAGAGCCTAGAGTTATGAATGGTTCTTTTTATCTGTTGCTGCCATTCTTATGTTTGTTTCATTTTGTTCAGCCTTGCATCATCTTTATGGATGAGATTGATGCCATTGGTGGGCGCCGTTTCAGTGAGGGAACAAGTGCTGACCGAGAAATACAGAGAACATTGATGGAGTTACTTAATCAGCTTGATGGATTTGATTCGCTTGGGAAGGTACACGGTTTGGTCATAAACATAGTTCAAGATTGTGATCTAAAGCATATATTTTACATGCCTTAGTTTCTAATCTATATATTTTTTATGGTTCTAGAACATCAAGTGGGTAAAGAGTGGCATATTCTGGTAGCTTGTTTTTGTAAAGTTTTTAAGTGCCTTTGATTACTGTTTTCTCTCTTTTATGGTCCTTGGAAAATAGGCCTACCCGTTAATGTCATAAGTGTGTGGCTGGTGATATTTTTATTTTTTTATTTAATTCATTTATGGACTGGAGCTCAAATTTCTCTTTTTTTATCCTTCATTGCTGCTCAGTATTTGTTCTTATGTTCCCAAAACCATTGTCAACTTAAAATTGTTTCATTTAGGTTAAAATGATCATGGCTACAAACCGACCTGATGTTCTAGATCCTGCCCTTCTGCGTCCTGGTCGGCTAGACCGAAAGATTGAGATTCCATTGCCAAATGAGCAATCAAGAATGGAGATCCTCAAGATTCATGCTGCTGGCATTGCCAAGCATGGTGAAATTGACTATGAGGCTGTTGTTAAACTTGCTGAGGTTGGTCAACGGTGTGGCTTGTTTCTCTTTCATTGATGTAATCCTCCTCACTAATGTAGCTTTTGTCTCCATTGCTTCAGGGCTTCAATGGTGCTGATCTGCGAAATGTTTGCACGGAGGCTGGAATGTCAGCAATCCGTGCGGAACGTGATTATGTCATCCATGAAGATTTCATGAAGGTATATATAACCGTGAAATTTGAAAGAATGTCATTTCATTTGGGTTATGTGCACTAGAACTTTCTGGAACGGGTAATTTCCCAATTTCATTTGGCTAATGATGTGCGTGCTTCAATGTGGTTAAATTGTGCAGGCAGTAAGAAAATTGAACGAAGCCAAGAAACTGGAATCAAGTGCACATTACAGTGCTGATTTTGGGAAAGAGTAGAGCTTCTGTGCTTGTTGAAGCCATCATGGAGTACCGGGCAGTGCATATTTATATATTCTATGCCCACCTCAAGTTAAATGTTGGCCTTGTGTATCGAACATATTATGAATGTAGTGCACTGCCTTCATGTGCGCTTGATGTAGGCATAATTACAGTACCCGGGAGACGTGTGATGGAGGCTTTTGCATGTCGTAGGGAATTGACTTATTTTACCCGGGAATTATGGAATATTTATTGAGCTTTGGTTTGGGTTCTTAAATATTTTAAATTGAAATTTCCAACCACCACCAGTATCCTCTTTATATCGATATTATTGTCCCTGGTTGGCAGTTGTGACTTTCTACTTGGAAACCTGCAGGTCCTATCTGAAGTGAAAAGCTTATATCATCTGCACAAACGTTTTCCGTTTGCCATCCGTAGATGGTCTGTCGACTACCCTATTAGATATGCTTTCCTGGAATAGGTGGAGTTTGCCTATTAACTCTTACTCCATGTTTTCTGGTTTTAAATCTGGCTGAAATAATAGAACAATGAGCGGATGAATCTATGTTTTTCTCAAGTAAAAATCATCTTTACTGTAACCGTAATCTTTATTAGTTATAAAAGCCAAATCTTTCAATAAATCCTGCATGTTTATGCAGGATGCTTTAACACGTGAAGATGATAATGCATCCAAGTATAGTATTTAACACTGGCTTAGTCCAATTTTCCAATTTGCAGAGAAGTAGAATCAGGGCTCACTTTCTTGTTTTAGTAAGCTTGTATTTCACCATCTTTACAATCTTGTAGAACCAGAAAGTACTCACTAACTGCAATCCTACGGCCGTTGCCTGAGTAACCAAACGTATATTGAATTATTAATTGATGATTGATTTATAGGAAGAACAAGGTAATTAGTCGCAAGTAATACGAATACCTTGATAAGTATAGGATTATTAGCCGATAGTGTGAGGAATGTGAGATAGGGTCCACCCACCATCCTTGCCACCGAAAATATTACAGCGAATATGATCTGTTCAAAAACCAAACTACCATTCATCTTCAACATCACTACACTAAATAACTCAACGTTATTTGAAAACCTCACAGATAACATAATCAAAAGTTAATGATTAACAAATTGCCGGACTTATGTTAGGTGCAAGTACCAAAAAAACTTGAAAAGCATTTAAGAGTTTGGAAACTAACATCTGCTGCTAAATTGAGGCCAGTGTCTCTGTAACCGAGTTCTTTAAATAGCTCCCTGGCGTGGAGGAGAGGACTTGAGATTTCCGTTATGAATAATGCCGCAACTTGTTCTGATCCACACTGCAAAATATATAACTAGTTGGGTTTACCGGATAATCTAATAGCGGAGAAACCATGCATGGCCTAACCGGCACAGATTAATCCTCTAATGGAGTAATGCTTAGAAACTTGAGACTTTGATTTTCGTCAAATAAACTTCGGAAATAAGAAGAGGAAGAAGAAAAAAAAGGTTATATCTTGTAATATCTTTCACAAAATTGGGTTTTGATGTGTAAACACTCGTAAAACTATGCCGAAAGAAAATGCTCATAACCAAAAAGTGAAAACCAAAAATAAATGAAAGACGAAGACCTTTCGAAAGGCAAGGCCAGCCCCAAGACCAACGATGCCGACCAAGTGATGAACAGCGTTGTCAAAACTGAATCGGTGGTCAAAGAGGCAGCATATCAAGTCATATATAAAATAAGCCACTGTAACACCCAAAGCTTGTCTCTGCTTAGGAGAAGACGTGGAAGCCAAAGGACAAACTGGGCAGCTCCAATCTTCAACAGAGAGCGAGGCTAAAGTTACAGCCAAAATAGCATGAATTGTAGAAACGATGCGGTTGCAGAACTCAAAGGAGCGTTTGGAGAAGATTTTTCCGATTAAGAGAAAAACTGTGGTCCATGAGATTACTCCCAACACAATCAAATTCACGTCGTCGTATTCCTCCCCCATGAATTTCTTAAAAAACATACTCAAAGCTGAATAATAAGGCAAAAAAAAAAGGGTTTTGGGAGATGCAAAACGAACTGTGTAAATCCCTCCTGTTTGAGTTATAACTTTACAGGGGAAAGGAAACAATGGCGTGTGCGTTTGTATTTTCAACTCTAATGCAGTTGTGGAATAAAAGAGTTGCTAGAGCCTAGTGCATGCAGCTGGCCACACATAATGGCAAGCGGTCCACAATTAATGAGTTTTTACATGTTCAAAAATTATTCAATCAATACTATTCAAAAAAAAAAAAAAACTGGTTCAATCACTTCATCATTTATTTGCTTAATTTAAAGATTAATATTTTAATTTATCCTTTATTTGCAACAAATTTTTAGAATTTGTTTAATTATAATTAAAAAATATAAAAAAAAATCCTAATTTGTTTATTGAAATTATAAAAACACTTTGAAATTATCATTTTATAGTTTTTTAAATAATAAAACTATAAAAAATAAACAATCTAAAATTTTAATCTAATATAAAGATATTTATTTTTCCATATTTTATTCTCAAATTATTTAGAACCATGCATATGAAGTTATAATGTTAATATATGGGAAAATGAACAAAACTGTGTATGCTTCCATTATTTTTTTTGTGAATTTATTTGATATTCTATTTTGTTGGGGTTTCTAAAAGAATAAAAGGATTTTTATCAATTATTTATGAAATACTCTTTTAAGAAAATTGTTTTTTTTTTGCTAATGTTGATAAGTTACGCTTTAATGTATAATATTATATTTATCTATATTATATATTAATAATTTGACTGAGTTAATATTATTGATTAGTCAAGTCTCAAATGAATTAATAATTACTATAAAATATCTTTATTGTAAATTATATATTATAACTATATTTTATATAATCATATATTTATATAATATTTAAAATGGTAAACTACTAAAAATTACTCTCAAGGATCCTTAAAAACTACACTTAAAATTTATTTATCTTATATATTCTTTATCAATCTACTTATATTACTTTTTATCAAACTTTTATAAATATTAATTATAAAATATTTTTTACATGCATAATAAAATATAATTTATCTAATGATCGTTGACAATGACTATCTATACATTTGTGAAACAAATCACATTGAAAGTATCTTGTTAATAATCTTTCAACATTATTAATGAAATTAATCGCGGATCTATGCTTACGTATAGTAGGGGATGTGTTTGTCCTTAAATTTAAGTTTTCTTCGTTAATTATATATTTTACTAATAGATTTTACTCTGAAATTTTATTTGTATCCATTTCATATATATATATATATATATATATATATACTTACCTCAAAATTATTTTTAAATCCGACACTAATAGAATTGTCTATGTAATTTTAATTTTTTCTTTACCAAAAAGGTTTCACTATTAACAAATAAAAAAAATGAGAAACAGAGGAAAACCTTATTAGATTGAATTGATTTGTGATAATTAATGACTTTCTCATTCTTTTAAAATTTTAGATTTTTTCCAAAATTATAACTTAAAATATTTTATAATTTGAAAAAAATTTATGAGATTTAAATTAAAAAAAACTTTTTCTATATATTGAATTATCGTTATTTTTTTAAAATATCAAACTAATTTAGCTGAAATTATGAGATCAAATGTGATATTTACCTTAAATGTAACATGTCACAACATTATTTTCTGAATGGGTTAACGATATTAATGGATGAATGCTCAAACTATAATTTTTTATTACTTTAGTGATCGTTTTATAAGTTTTAAAGTTCAATGACAAATAAAAAAATACCCCATTATTAAGTGGCTATATGTGTAGTTTATCCACATAATATTTAGAATTAAAATTTGAATTATTATGGGGATGTAGCTGCTCAAATTTCAAAGTAAAAATTCGTGTTTTGACATGGAGTCAATAAAAATTCTTTAGTAAACTCTTTTATAATATTGACGAGTTAAGAATTTATTTAAATCGGATTAACAAAGGAATTGATTTAAATCGGATTAAAAAAGGTTTTTTTAATTAGAATAATGATTTACCGAATTTAAAATATAATTTACATGGATTGCGCATCAAGTGATCTCAAATTGTTTGGATGTGAGGGGTTTTAGGAACAAAGATTTGAACATTCCCTTGTCCGTTGTCATTCTCTTCACCTTTTCTTCTTCTCCCTATATATATTTTTCTCAATTCCCAAAGGTTGAAACTTTGAGTTAAAGGAGTAAACTTTTTTAAGTTCTTTCCTTCAGCCATGTAACACCCCAACCCGTAGTCGACCCGGATACGAGTTCGAAATATCACATTGATTTTTTGAAACACTTTTCTTATAAAATTACAAACATTTGAACTTATATTAAGAAAATACGATTCTATACGATTAAATTGTGTATGTTATAAAATTTTAAGGCAAAAACGTATTTATGAACAGTAAAATACTGTATGAACAGTACCAAATGTTAAAATTTTCTGAAATGCTTGAGGGATACCGATACCCTGCTACAGGGTACCGATACCCTGCTACAGTACCTCGGCAAAATATGTATAAAACTCATAAAATTTAAAACATTCATCATTATACATTTACCATTTACATATATACGTTTAAAACATTCCAAAACTTTATCAGAGCGTATTCAATACAAATCTTTTTTATTACATGCCAACTAAATTCTATCTAACAAAATACATGTAATTCAATCTATATTTCTGATATGATCTTCGGTAAGGAGAACTGAACTATCTTATTCCTCTTTACTTCTCTTTTCGCTTTCCAAACCTACGTGTCAAACAATCACGCGCTAAGTCGATGACTTAGTGAGGCATATAAACATATAATAAAACCATAAAACATTTCATATAATTAAATATATTCATATACCTAACTCATCATTTCCATCCTTACCTCATTCCATTATCATTCATATCTCTTAGTCATTTTTAATTAAACAATACACACACAACAACATATATTCTGTCATGCAACAATTATCCACTTGCACATATATTATTATTCACATTCTTATTTCTGTACATCATATAACACACATATCATCCTATAATCTTTGTAATCCATTTTTCATAACATATCACACATACACATATCACATACAATATATTTATATTATTGTTTTATTAGCCCATGTATACTTTTGAGAACTTAAGGTATGTGAGTACATTGAGGTTGTGCACTATTGCTGTCACCACAGCTCGTATAAGTCTCACTGAGTGGCATATGAAATTGTCCCGAAGAACCTATCCAGAGGTCATAAAGAACCTCGTCAATTGTCCATAGGTCCCGAAGAACCTAGGTAAAACTGTCCATATGTTCCTTAAACATAGGTAATCATGTCCATATGTCCCGAAAGACATAGGTAAACCCTCGACTCTTGGCATGCCAACTATACCACTAGCTCTCATATCAATAACATGGGTATTATCATTTATGACAGTTCACATATTCACATCACTTATTCATATCATTTCTCTTATAAACACATATCTCTTATTTTCTGTCACGTATTACATGTACATGTAATCATTGATCTTATATCATATGACTTTCTCGTATATTCTCATATCTCATTATCAAGTATTCATTTCATTCTCTATGTCCTCATCACATAGCTTATTTCACATTCATATGTCACATAAATCATATCGTATAACATGTATCACATATATCTTGTCACTTATGATCATACAACTTATCATCACACATACATGCATTCACATAGATCACATATACATAGCATATATCATATTTTCATGTATTCATGCACACATAAGAATCACATAATATTTTAGAAGTTACTTCTTACCATAGTAACTCCATCACTGGCTCATCGCAAGCCAATGTTCGTTCAATAACATAGGTACAAATTAATTTGCACTCACCTTAGCCTTGTTTGCTTTGATTCGATCATAATTCTTTGATTGTTCCGGAACTTGTTCACATTCAATGTCTACATAACCATACATTTTAAGGCAATTATCATATATATACACCTTGTAATTTGATACTAATAGCCTAAACGAATTTAATATACTCATATTCACTTTTTCCTTTAGGGGGTATCAGTACCTCCCCTTAGGGTATCAGTACCCTTATAGAAATCTGTAAATTTTACCCAGAAATCACTGTTCATGCACGAAAATTCACTATTTCAACTTCAATTCTTCATGTTTCATTCCCATTCATATTTTTAACTCAAATATACATACTTAAACCAATTTCTACTCATTTATCACATCTCAAACCTCAAAATCCTATTCTCCATATACAAATCAATAATCATACCAAATTTTCAATATACTCTAAATTCAATTCTATCACTTCATATCTCTTAATTAAATTGATGACAAGTCAAATTTAGTTTCAAATTCAACTTATCAACTCTTTTCCATAAATTCTCTTAAAAACTCATTTTCTTTAATCTTTCACAACTTCTTAATCTTTTGATTTTAAGACAAATTAAGCTTTCCTTAAGCTTAATTATCATCTAATGATCAAAACCCAACCATAAAATCAACAATTAATCAGTTAACAAAGAAACTCACCTTTGCCTTTGGGGGTTCACAGTGAAGAAGAAGAAGATAACTCTTCCCCCACGTGATTCAGTCATATAAGGGGAGAAAAATATCTTTCTTGTTAAATGACCATTTTGCCCTTTAATTCCTTGGATAATTACTAACAACTTTTAGGAAATATTCTCAAATAAATCATTGAACTATTCAACATTTCCACTTTAATCAACAAATTCAAAAATTTTACAATTTAGTCACTAACCTGTAGTTTGGGATGTTACAAACCATATATTCCAATGTAACTTTTCTTTTTAATATTTATAAGCTAAAATATATACTCAAGTCATATTTTAAGCGTCAAAATGAACAAAAACAAAATTAGAGTATAAAATGGGAAAACAAATTTATTTGAAGAGTTAAGTTATTTAAAAGTTAACATTTAATTGCTGTGATAATTTTAATTTACATTTTCAAATTGCTCATATAAAAATTTCATTATCTGTTAGAAAATACTTAAA